GCTGTCTCATGTCTCATCCCTGCAGGATCAGATTCTCTAACATCTCATTAGTAACTATGTAGAAAATGAAAATCGCAGAAATAAATGAAGACCACCCAAATGACACCAAGAAAAGGCTGTTTATTTGGAGCTTGCTGTAGCATGCGAGTCAGCCACCATCACTTGCACGTGACAGGCTCACTGGCAGGCAGAAGCATGACAAAACTTTAGAGTGGAAAAAGGAAAGGTATCAGGTATGCCCTGATTGGAAGCTGTTGGCCTGGGAATATGGAGACCCGCTTAGTAGAAGCAGGCATCCAATCTGATTGGTTAGGAGAGCATATTTGGCTCTCTCTGGTTGGTCCTAAATTCAAAGTGGGAGCAGAAATTAGAGAAGCTGGCAGTTATCGAGTAAGTCTTGACCATTTGATTACTGTTTGCTACAGAGGTGGTGGCTTGGCTTCCTGGACTAATTGCTGCAGCTTGTGGGTCACAGTTCTCTTTTTATATGTTGTATGGCCATTGTCCATCTCTATATTCAGTCTCTCAAAATCAGTGCTCCTGCTTGTTGGTACGTCAGTGAGGGAAAATCTATTCCTCCAGCTTTTCTTTCTCTCCCAAACAATTTTTTTTAACATTATACCCCCACTACATTGTCTGTGAACACTGATGATGGACTAATCATTTAGCAAGGGCAGGCAGTACCTTGGCAGATGAAAACTTTAATGGTAGGGCCTTAAGATCCCCAGCAAAACACAGCATAAAACTAGTTGCCTCCTTCACTTACCTGTAGCCCTGTTTAGTATTTGTGAATTATTAGTAACATACAAAGCATGAGTCTGTTTTCCATCGCACTGTGTATGTAGCTCCTACCTACATACACATGTAGATATGCTGTCTATCCTTTTTAACCTTTCAAAAGAGTTCTCCCAAACCCAATTCCACTGCCTCTCTTGCTCCATTCAATAATAAATAATGTTTCCCATTTTCACCATATTTAATACAGTTATGTTAGAAAATATAAGGGTCAAAGGCTTTGTACTTTCTGCCCAGGTGTGTTCAAATATCATGGATCAAATCTAAATCTTGGTGAAAAGTCTTCTGCTGTCTTTTCTAGAATCAACAGTTTATATTCCAGAGAGTTAACAGTTTATATTCCAGAGAATTAACAGTTTATATTTGACAGGTTAAAAAGGATAGACACATACTCCTGTGTTCATTTTATTTATATAAATAAGTAATTGTTAAACATTTACCTTAACACAACTTCCAGAGATGTTTAAGTAACAAAATTGAACTTTCATCCTCTGAGATATTTACGTATACATGGGGAGTAGGTAAGAACAAATACCACAATGGCACACAATATGAATATAAGAAGATTTACAACTTTCACTCTTGTAATTCTGTTACTGGCCAGGTTCATTCTGCTTGTGCACAGCAAGCCAATCACTGTGGTGACAGGTTTTGCAAAAGAGAAAAGATTTTCTTCACAAGGCCACCATACAAAGATACAAGAGAACAAATCAAAATTCATCTCTTTGAAAAGAGGGTTTGGGGGTACTTATGAAATAGAAAGCAGAGTCGTCCAAAGCATGGGGAAGGGTAATTGGCAAGTAGGGAAGGTGAGGTAAACAGGGTTTCTGTGCAAACTTAATTAAGCTACATGGTTCTTCATAGGACATGTATGCACAAAATGACAGTGTTAGCACAATCTGAGGTTGGAGCCTTTGGCCTTCTGACATCAAAAGGTCGCTTGAGCAGGTCCAGTTGAAGGGTCAGTGGTCTCAACCAGCTTGAACTAGATGACAGCTGTCCCCTCCTTCCTGAAAAACAACTTTATGCAACATTACCATAGTGCCCCACAGAGATGTTATCTATAAGGAAGCTAGTGGGAGTTTAGTTATGTATTGTTTGGCTAAGCAATCTGCTAGTGGGAGTTTTTTGTTGTTTTCTTGGTAGGTTGGGAGAGGATTTTAAGACAGGGTCTCACTCTGTCACCCAGGCTGTAGTTCAGTGACTCCATCACAGCTCACTGCAGGCTCAAACTCCTGGTCTGAGCCTGAGGCCATCCTTCCACCTCACCCTCTGGAGTAGCTGCGACTACAGGCACCAACCTATGTAGGGCTAATTTTTTAAATTTTTTGTAGAGCTGGAGTTGTCGCTATGTTGCCCAGGCTTGTCTTAAACTCCTGGCCTCAAGCAATTCTCCTGCCTTGGCTTCCCAAAGTGCTGGGATTACAGGTGTGTGCCACCATACCTGGCTGCTAAGTGGGAGTTTTAAGATCAACCATAAGTAAGCTGTTAAAAGCAAGCAAGGCAGGTTAAGTTTGGCAAACTTAATCAACTTAGCCCTCAGTTTCAGTTCCACCAAGAGGTATGCAAGAGTCAAGATGCCATGCATGCACTGTATACCATGCATACAGTGGCTTAGTGTTCCAGGAAGAGCCCCTAACTCTGTTATATCTTTTTCTTTTTATTTTCTTTTTTACCACAAACATGAAAATACTTTCTTATGTGGGGTTCCGGGGGTCAAGGCTCAGGTGCCAAGCAGTGTGAGTTATGCACCAGCTATGCAGGGAGTTTTCCAGGCATGTCAGCTTTCACATCTGCAAATCGCATGGGAAGTTGGATTCCATAGGGAATCCTATAAGAAGCTAAATTTAGGTGTAGCCTTCCCACTTAGGGAAACAGCACCCCCCCATCCTCGCTGACTCCCGGCCAGACATTCTGAGTCTCCCTATTCATTTGGATGGTCCTTCTGCAGCATTCCTCTTTCCAAGGGATGAACAGACCCTCAGTGAATCCTTCCAGCTTAGCAATTACATGTGATCTACTCAACTGAGCTGTTTACCATCTCATCTCTTTCATTCACATCTGAGAGACCTTAGCACCATTGTCTGCTGAACACTTTGGCTGTAGACAGAAAATATGCCACTAATACCAGAAGAAGCCCAGCTCGAATCCCAGAGCAAAGCACGAGTACCCTTCCTACAATAGCTGGTCTGTCCAGCCTTAACCATACCGCCTAGCTCCCACGCGCTTACCATTATTATAAGACCCAAACTAGAGCCCCAGGCACATCCTTTCAGTGATCAGCTAGCTAAGGAGAAAGACTCCAAGGAGTACGTCACCTAGCTTGTTTTTTCTCCCCTTCACTTTTTACTTCCCAAATGGAGTAAAACTAGCTTAAATGCAAGAGTTGCTAACATTATATGGAACTGGCTGTATCTGGTGCTTTCAAGAGGAAATCTTAGTTAAAGAACAGACAATAGGGCTATCTATCTCTGGACATACAGTCAAACACAACAAACATGAAGATCTTGAAGACACATTGCAAAAGTTTGTCCTTGCAGTTGGTTTTAAATATCTTAAGATAAATTATCTGTTGAAGCAGCAGCTTCTCCACTCCTTCTGGAATCTCTCCCTGGTTCAGCCCGCCTGCCTCCAGTCCTGCCTCCACCATGTCCATCAGGGTGACCCAGAAGTCCTACAGGGTGTCCACCTCTGGCCCCGGGGCCTTCAGCAGACGCTCCTTCACGAGTGGGCCCAGTGCCCACTCGAGCTCCTCGAACTTCTCCCCAGTGAGCAGCACTGGCTTCCGCGGTGGCCTGGGTGCAGGCTATGCAAGGGCCAGAGGCATAGGCATGGGAGGCATCACCGCCGTCACCATCAACCAGAGCCTGCTGAACCCCATTAAGCTGGACGTGGACCCCAACATCCAGGCCATGCGTACCCAGAAGAAGGAGCAGATCAAGACCCTCAACAACAAGTTTGCTTCCTTCATTGACAAGGTGCGGTTCCTGGAGCAGCAGAACACGATGCTGGAGACCAAGTGGAGCCTCCTGCAGCAGCAGAAAACGTCTCAGAGCAACATGGACAACATGTTTGAGAGCTACATCAACAACCTGAGGTGGCAGCTAGAGACTCTGGGCCAGGAGAAGCTGAAGCTGGAGGCAGAGCTTGGCAACATGCAGGGGCTGGTGGAGGACTTCCAGAACAAGTATGAGGAAGAGATCAATAAGCGTACAGAGATGGAGAATGAATTTGTCCTCATCAAGAAGGATGTGGATGAAGCTTACATGAACAAGGTAGAGCTGGAGTCTCGCCTGGAAGGACGCACTGAGGAGATCAACTTCCTCAGGCAGCTGTATGAAGAGGAGATCCGGGAGCTGCAGTCTCAGATCTCAGACACGTCTGTGGTGCTGTCCATGGACAACAGCCGCTCCCTGGACATGGATAGCATCATCGCTGAGGTCAAGACACAGTATGAGGAGATCACCAACTGCAGCCGGGCTGAGGCGGAGAGCATACACCAGATCAAGTATGAGGAGCTGCGGATGCTGGCTGGGAAGCACGGGGATGACCTGCGGCTACGAAGACTGAGATCTCCGAGATGAACCGGAACATCAGCCGGCTCCAGGCCGAGATGGAGGGCCTCAAAGGCCAGAGGGCTTCCCTGGAGGCTGCCATTTCAGATGCTGAGCATCGCGGGGAGCAGGCACTCAAGGATGCTCGTGCCAAGCAGCAGCAGCTGGAGGAAGCCCTGCAGAAGGCCAAGCAGGACATGGCACGGCAGCTGCGTGACTACCAGGAGCTGATGAATGTCAAACTGGCCCTGGACATTGAGATCGCCACCTACCGCAAGCTACTGGAGGGCGAGGAGAGCCGGCTGGAGTCTGGGATGCAGAACATGAGTATCCACACGAAGACCACCAGCGGCTGTGCAGGTGGTCTGAGCTCTGCCTGTGGGGGCCTCACAAGCCCCGGCCTCAGCTACTGCCTGGGCTCCAGCTTTGGCTCTGACGGGGGCTCCAGCATCGTCAGCCGCACCAGCTCCACCAAGGCTGTGGTTGTGAAGAAGATTGAGACCCGCGATGGGAGGCTGGTGTCCGAGTCCTCTGAGGTCCTGCCCAAGTGAACAGCTGCAACAGCCCCTCCCAGCCTGCCCCTCCTGAGGCTGCCCCAGAGCCCGGGAGGGAGGCCGCTGTGCAGGGGAGCACAGGAAACAGGAGGCCCACCCGACGCTCAGACCTAGCCCTCAGCCCACCCGCCGGGAGTTTACTGCCTGGGGACCCCCCTTGCCCATGCCTCCAGCTGAAAAACAATTCAATTGCTTTTTTTTTGGTCCAAAATAAAATCTCAGCTAGCTCGGAATAAATAAATAAATAATCTGTTTACTGCCAAATCCTCCGTCTTCCAGGGCAGCAGAGAATTTATTCTTGTTTCTCTTTTCAACCTTGACACCATTAATGTCATGAATAACTATTTACTGTAGGGACTGTCCTGTGTAATGGAGTAAAACTGTCCTTTGTAATGGAGTAAAACTAGCTTAAACACAAGAGTTGCTAACATTATATGGAGCTGGCTATATCTGGTACTTTCAAGAGGAAATCTTAAAGAAGAGCATGTTAAGCAGCATCCCTGGCCTCTATATACTCGATGCAAGTAGAATCTCCCCCCCCAGCTGTGACCCCCAAAAATGTCACCAGACATTGCCAAGTCTCCCCTAGCAGGTAAAATCAGCCCAACTAAAAATTATTGCTCTATAATGAAATGCTTTAAGCTCAAGGGTTATTTAAGTAAAGACTTGCAAATTAGACATTTCTTGGCCCTATTTCATACTTAAGAAGAATCTCATCTATCTTTTTCTTCTCATTAGTCACTCTTTTGTTAGAAAACTGCTCTTAGTGAAAGGAACAGCCAATGAAGAACAAACCACAGAACCTAAAATCAAATGAGTAGGAACAGTATTGAATCATCCTGTGGTTTTTGGTCAGAAACAAGTCAAATATGTTGAGGTTTTTAACGATCTACTCTATCCAGTTAAAAAGAACTGCCTAGAAACCACAAGCCATGGACCCAGCCCCACTTATTGATTGGACTTCTTCTCTGGGTCACCTCCTAAGAAGGAGGTAGAAAGCAGATAATTTTGAGAGGATTCCAAGCATAACCAGGTGAAAGATTTTCTTCTTTCTTTCCTTTTAAAACAGATTCTCTGTGTTAGTTTATTTAGCTGTAGATGTGTGCATAGGTTATAGAAGTTATACTTTCCATCTCAGACAGTTTGGGGGGATTATCATTTTCTGTTCCTGAAGTACAAATCACACGGTTGAAAAATCCCCTTACTGCAGGTTTTCTGGGGGTAAACTCTCATTGTTTTCTGTTTATCAGAATATGTCTTTATTTCAACTCCTGTCTTGAAATTCTAGATTGACAGTAATACTCTCCCAGCATTTTAAAGTTATTATTCGACTGTATTCTGGCTTCCATTGTTGTTAAGAAGTTTGCTTTTCTTCTAAAAGTTGTCTTTGTAGAGATGTCTTTTCTACACATCTAAAATCTTATACGTATTTGATCTGAATCTGTGAAAGATCTGAGGGCTCCACTTGAAAATGTTTTCCTCCAAAAAGGTTTCCTTTGCTTATTCTAGGATTCAGAGGGTACTACTGATGCAGACACACTCCTGCTGCCCTGTATCCTCAGGTGTAACCACAGTTTCTTGGTCAGCTCTGTGAGGTGCCCTATGCCCAAGGCCTATCTCCACCTGCAATGGTGATAGTGCACCTGCTCTTTTGGGGATATCACCTACTGAATGGGAATCCCTTCTATGGATTTCAGGTTGAGGGAGGGTTTTTATGGTTTGTTTTAGGTTTTTTTAATTTCAATTTTGTTTTGTTTGGGGGGGGTTATTTGACATTTGACAATATTCCCTATAACATATAAAAACAGAAAAGACAGAATCATTATTTTTTCTAGTTCTTTTTTAATGTGAGGGCATCCCAGAGTACCTGACTGGCCAGTCTGCTGGAAACAAAAGTCCCAAAATCCCCTCTAGGTAGAAGCTCTCATGCTGCTCCAGCCCAGCCTTTCCTACCCTCCTCTTCTCTCCTCTGGTTCCCCCACCTCCCTTCAGTCATCAGCCCTGCTGGGGCATGAAGTGACTTGTACCTGGGGCTCCAAAAGCCTCCTGCTCCAACCAGGTTTCAGCTGCTGCCCTTTATAGGGGTTGATTGCTTGTCTTGCTGCCCTATTAAAATCTATATATTAAAGGAAAATCATGTGTTTAAAAGAATTTATAATCAAATAACTAAAGACAATGAGAGAAAGTGAAAAGTGCTTTAGGCGTATTCTCAGGAGATGGGTCTTTGATTCCTTAGATAACACGGGGCATTCTCTGCCTCGGTTTTCTTATTGATAAAAATGTCCTGGCTACCTCATAACCAAACAACATAATACAATGGTTTAATTACCTTTGAGTGTAGTTCCTTAATAGGACTTTCTCCCTGATTTTAACATTTATGATTTTTGTAATGCAAATGTAACATATAGTCACAGAAACTGAGCTGTAAATACTCTTTGGTAAATAAATCATCAATTTAAAAAATAATCTGACAAATTCTCAGGCTGCCAGTGAGATAAGGGAGGCCTGGGCAGGGGAAATCGATGCCATCATCATCACAGATAAAGTGGTATGCTGGATCCAGCTAGTAACTGCTCCTAAAAGCTGATTCTGTGCACCTCTTCCCTACTCTGTGCTCAGTGACTTCACATTGTTAGTTGAAGTTGGCTATGGTGGAAATATTAATACAACAAAAGTCAGCAAAGTTTGCAAATCAGCTTTGTGTGCCTTGTTTGGAGAGCAGCTTGGAAAACACTGTTTGGCACATCACCATGCTAAGGGAGGGAACTCCTAGGTTAATATGAAATGAATCTTTGGTTTTAACCTTAATTTTGGAGAACTAAACCCACACCCATTAAAACTATAATACATCGTGCCTCATAATCTACCCCTGCAAACAATGAATCTTCTTTAATGTTTCTCACAAAGATGCTATGCACTACCACTGGTCAAGCCACTCAAACAAGCTTTGAGGCCCAATTACTAAAGTGTCTTTGATACCAACCTGGAAATCATACACTTATACTCCTTGAAGCCTCTCCACTGTTAAATATGGGATATGTACAGACCATCACCAGGGACCATATCTTTTGTCTCAGAATATATTTGATGTTTTCAGAACAGAATTTTCTCTTTAAGTTCTGAGAATTCTTAACTTGCTGCAGATAAAATACTATTTGTTTGTTTTTTATGTAAGTGAATGTCAGTATTCACGTTCTTAGCTATTGAGTATAACTAATCAAAGAGTTTCCCAAAGTAAAATTTCTAGAATCCTAAAAGGAATATTCCATTTAGATCAACTGAATTTTTTCATTAAGTACAATTTACATAGACAACGTTTTTCATCAACTTTTGTTTAAAAATCTTGCTAAAACATATTGTCTTGATTTCTGCTTTAAAAGAGTTCAATAGTCAAATGATTTTCAAGAAGTATTATATTTCAGTCTTTCATTTAACCCAGAAATCAACCTTCTTAAAGGTCATATCTATGTCAACCAGTGGATTGGTCAAATACTAACAAAAAAAAAAAAAAAAAAATTAAACAGAAAAGAAAAATCTCAACTGCTTTTGTTTCATGAACTATAAATAAATCATTATTTGAATATTCATTAGGTGATATATATTGAGAAAGAGGTTTAATACAGATAGTTATATTTAGTGAAGACAGTATTAGATACTTACTATGTGAGTCTAGGGTGTATAGTATCTGCTTTTGGCATTTATCCTGAGGAGTTAACATGCAGTTTCTGACAAGGTTCTTCGTTATATCACTGTCATACCAACGTACTGCACCCTTGATGGCTAGGCAAAATTGAGAATTGTGTTCTCCAAGGTATAGTTCTGTTTAAACATCTGGCTCTTTAAAAGGCATTCCAAAAGGTGTTTGCTATTTAATCAGATTGTTGTAAGAGCTTAAGACCATTTTCCCTATGTCCATGCGCCCTGGAACACAGAAGGTCTCTCTGACAGTGTTTCGTCTCATCCTGAGAGCCTTTCTATATTCTAGCCCCTCACCTCTTTCCCTATTTAACTGGAGAGTGCCTGTCTTAGGCATTCAGTGATAGAACTATGTCTCACATCTCGAGAACCAGCCTATCCTGGTTGACTTGAGCACGGAAACTCTTTCAAGCATATGTTTCCCCAGAGAAGGAATCTCATGAAATAATAAGGTTTCAAAGCATAGACCTCCATGAAAACTCAGCTAGCTTCCCCACCAGGTGATAGTCCCCCTTGTGCTTCTCCATTTTGATCAGTTTCTGCCCTCTGCCCTAGCAAACACATTTTATTTTCATCAACTCTCCAGCTCTAACAATTTTTATGTTTCCAGAATAGCAAAACAGTTGATTTGTTACTTCCGAATAATTCTAAAATTTTTGTTGTTTCAAAAAAAAACCATTCTGAAACACTTTAGAGTCAGTGCCCTTCTGAGCAAAGCATCTGAGGTCAGTTGGAGACCACTATCACTTTTTAACAACCTAGATCTGTACAGGCAACATGTAGTGATGGACACCAACTTGTACTGATGTGTAGATGACAGTGGTGTCATTATGCATTTGTGCATGTACCATAGCTATAAGCAAGAAACACTCTTACAAGACTGGAGCATCCAGTCCAGAATCTCACTGTCATCTCCCCATTGCTTCTTATTAAAATGCGCTATGGTGGGAAATATTTATACTTTTCAAAAACTTCCTATCTGGTATAATATTATTTTATAGTGTTTGTTCTGCCTAAATCTGATCTGCCTAAATCATTTAAATTACAATGAATACTTTTCAGTCTTTTAGCCCTAAACCTATGTGTTGCTAGATTTTTTCTTTTCTCTTTTTTTTTTTTTTAAGATGGAGTCTTGCTCTGTCACCCAGGCTGGAGTGCAGTGGCACGATATTGGTTTACTGCAACCTCTGCCCCTGGGTTCAAGCAATTCTCCTGCCTCAGCCTCCTGAGTAGCTGGGACTACAGGTGCGCACCACCACACCCAGCTAATTTTCATAGCTTTAGTAGAGACAGTGTTTCACCATATTGGTCAGGCTGGTCTTAAACTCCTGATCTTGTGATTCACCCACCTTGGCCTCCCAAAGTGCTGGGATTACAGGTGTGAGCCACTGGGCCTGGCCTGCTGTTTTAAAACTGCAAAAACTGCATCAAATCCTAGAAATCCTACTCCTACGTATTTATTCTAGAAAAAAAATTATTAGATTGGTACAAAAGTAATTGTGGTTATTGCCATTAAAAGTAATGGGAAAACC